GCTATTCATCATGTTTCAATATTTACTATTCTGGTGCTATCCACTGCTATTCTTAAGGTTTTCAGTGACTAAACATTCAGAAGTAGTTCATCTCTCCTTCTTCCTAGTCTGTCTTCATCTGGAAGCTCAGCTGAAACTTATCCATCATGGGTGACCCTGCTGGTATTTAAAATAACAGTGGCATAGCCTTCAGAATCACAGCAACATGCAAGTCACCACAGTATGACAAACTGACAGATGAGTGGTGGTCTCTGAGCTCGAGGCCCATATATCCTATGCCGCTCTGACATCTGATCTCATATATCTGACTCACAAGCACAACCTGTCAAAATTGAACCTGTTTTTTCCTCTCTCTCCCAAACTGAGTCCTTCAGGAAAAAGTTGTGTGTTTGTGTACGTGGGGGTACTATCTCAACAAATGGTATTACCATGTATCCAGTTGTTTAAGCCAGAAATCTCAAGCAAATCCAGTTAATTATAAAGTCATACTAACTTTTTGTTCTAGGGTTTGTTTAAAAAAAAAAATTCATTGTAAATTGAATGAAGGTTTACAAGAGTAGATCTTCAGTTTTACATTAAGAAAATCATATACTTTTTTTTTTTTCATTTCAATGATTGCAATTCCCTCAATGTAACATCAGTTATCCCACTTCCTCCCTGTAATTCTTGTTTCTATCCCACCTACTTTCCCAACCCTTTTGAATTCTGCCTTCAGGTAAATGCTGCCTTTTTAATCTTGAATGGTTGACCAGTCTATGGTATGAATACCTCACTAGTTTGTTGTCCCTGCTATATACCTATCTACTGTTTAGTGAAAAATTGAACCATGGGGTAAGTTTAGTTCTAGACTTGAAGGGTGACCAAGGACCATAGTTTGGGGTTCCTCCAGTCTCTTTCTGACCAGGAAGCCAGGTCATTTTTCATATTGAGTTTTTTCCCCCTCTATCAAGGAAAAGTACTACTAATTTAAATATCTCTGCTCACTCCCACTCACCATTGTCCTTATCACCCATCATATCATTTTCATTTGGTCATGCGACCCACAGACAAGCAATTCCTTCTAGGCTGACAGCTTCACCCAGAATATATGAAATGGGATTAAATGCCCATTTAATGTTCTAAAGTGTTCTGAATTATATATGGATCTGTACACCGCAATCAGAGCTATAAGTGAGCATTTTTAACATTGTAGGACTTGTATCTTGGGCTCCCTGCTCCCTAAGTTCTGCTTCGACAGCATCCAGATACTCTCAGCAACACTTCTTAAAGACTAATCTTACAGGCAGTACAATAACAAGAGGAGCGCGAAGACCTAAGACTGTAAGTAATGATAAATTTGGTAATACGTATTTAAACAATGAAAAAAAAATTTAAAGTTAAAGTTATAGTTTAGGATTATTTCAAAGTTACATTATAATAGTTATAAATTAATATCTTTTATAGGTGCTTAGTGTCTGGATGGTAAAATTCTGATGTTGAAATAAGTCAAATAGCACCTGTTCAATTATAAGTCAATTACTTGGGTGTGGAAATTAGTACCAACACCTTCTGTGTTCTATTTCTGAACCTTGTTTTTTTTTTTTTGTTTTTTTTTTTAAATCCTCTACTATAATTAACTATGAAGAGTCCTGGTGTGATGCTGTAGGATAAGCACTGGACTGCTAATCAAAAGTTCAGTGGTTCAAACCCACCAGCTTCTCAGAAACCCTAGACAGGGTCACTATGAGTCAGAACTGACTCAATGACACTTAACAACAACAAAGGCCTTTTTCAAAGATGTGATTTTTTTGTTGCTGATGGTATGGCTATTGGACTAGAAGTATGTCACATTATTTCTAACACTCAGTTAAGGCACCATACACAGAGATGAAAAAAATCTGTTGGGAACACACTCAAATGATACCCTTGACTGAGAGAGGGCCACATTATTAATACCCACTATTTGCTTGACTGATCAATCACTACATGAAAGGAGCTCTGGTAGCGTAGTGGTTACGAATCGGGCTGCGAACCTTAAGGTCAGCGGTTCGAAACTACCAGCCGCTCCGCGGGAGAAAGATGAGGCTTTCTACTCCCGTAAAGATTTACACCCTCGGAAACCCTGTACAGGGTCGCTATGGGTCGGAACCGACTCAACGGCACTTAACAACAACAACAACAAACATGAAAGTCTAGTACTATATGTCTACCTAGGTTTCTACATAAATCTTTGACAAAAAGGAAACCAACTTCAGTTTGTACGTACAAGACCATAAGGGTAATCTGGATTCACTCAGTCAGTGTTTTAAATTGCCAAGAAGTCCTGATGGTTCAGTAGTTCAAACCCACCAGCCACTCTGAAGCAGAAAGATGAGGCTGTCTGCTCCCATAAAGATTTAGTTTTAAAAACCCTGTGAAGCAGTTCTACTCAGATCTAGGGGTACCCATGAGTCAGAACCGACTCAGTGGCAGCAAGTTTGGGTACTTCACCCAAAGCTCTGAGTACTATGAATATTCCCACCAGCAAGGAAGTAGAGGAAGAGGGGCTGGTGATCACACGTCTTTTGAGTGAGAAGGTTATTAAGTAACTAGATATATGAATAAAGATCCACTGCATTATTGTGATTGAAAAGGCTAATGGCCTAAGGCTAATTATATTAACAGTGAGCTTCTTAGATGAATAAACCATATAAAGAAGTGTCTAGTGGACCCACTGACTTCTTTACAGTCTAAAGATGTCATGAAAAAGAGAAAAAAAAAAAAGCCTTTGGACCAGGAAAACCACACTATTTCCTGGAGTATCTTTAGTTCTAAGGTCTGACCTCTTTAGCAAGGCCTATGAACTCACTGCAGTTGAGTCAATTTTGACTCATAGCAACCCTACACAAGGTTTCTGAGACTATAAATCTTGATGGGAGCAGAAAGCCTCATCGTTCTCCCATGGAGCAGCCAGTGGGTTTGAACCACTGACCTTGTGGTTAGCAGCCCAACATCTAGCCCACAGCGCCATCAGGGATCCTATGGCCTATGAAACAAGCCGCATAAATACAGGTTAAAGAGGAACTTCTACATGGCTGGAGTGTAAGAATAGAAATGATTTTCTTAAAAAGAAAGAAAAGCATGGTACTAATATGAATGATAAAATATCAAGAAATGTTTAAATTACCCCCAAAATATAGGGTAGTTTTCCTTAGCTGGAAATGACTTCCCATTGACTGATTTTTTTTCTTGACAATTTTCTTTAGGACCAGTAGGAAAATATATACAAGAAAACATGCTAAATAACCTAAGCTGCCTGGAACTCATAATCTTGGTCTTATTAGTAACAATTTTTATGATGCTATAACTAGAACTATTCACTATCTTCTTAAAAGGCACCAATATCTATTCAATATCTATATTACAGGTACCTACTAAACATAAAAAAATGATTGATAATGGTTTCCTACCCAATGTATCAGAAAATATTCAACTTGCAGCTTTTCAAGTTCAAACTGCTCCATCTAGAATCTCATTCCGACCTGACTGGTAAATCAAATCTCCTTTTTTCAAGTTTTATTTCTATAAGCATTTGAATAAATAAAGATGGCTCTAAACAGAATTACACCTTTCATCAAAGTTTGCTTATTAGTACTATCAAGATAATGTAGGACTGAGCTGAATGTATCTTGAATGTCACAGGCAAAGTAGGGTTTGGCCCTAGATTTTAAAACATAGGAGTAGGCTTATGTTTCCAGTGGTTCCTTTCCTCTTAGCTAGCAGCATCTCAACATGGATTCTACAGTTACAAAGCATGTAGGATGACCAGAGGCAGAGGGCAATTTCTGTATCTCATATTACATACCAAAATCCTTTTTTGGATTTTGAAGCAATGTATTTCATATTTGAGGGGTTGCTTCTACCCATCTACAGTCACTCATAATATAAGCAGATTTGAGTTGAGACAAGAGCAAAAGAAGGTTCTGTTGAAAGTTCAGATTACAAGATGTTCTACAATGTAGGCCTTATGATCTAGCATACCCAATGATTCTCAAAGTGACATGGCATCTAGGGACATTACATAGAGTCTCTGTCAAGGAGAATCACAGCATAGACCTCTAGGATTCTGGAGCAAATCTATGACAGCTTCTGGCTTTCTAATGTATCTTGGCTTGCTAGTGAACATGTAGTCTGAACTACCAACACGATTTAGTAGTAATAAACTTGGGCATCTACAGCAGGAATTTATCTTAGATGGAAATGGTATATAAAAAACAGTTTAGGCAGATCTGAAAGGTACAAGAAGATTCCCAAAATAAGAGCAGACCAACTCCTGTGTTGTTGCCTGCTCTCCCTCAATGTATGAGGTGTCCCTAACAATAAGTTGGCCATGATTTTTTTAAAAAACTCGAAGCTTGTTTACAGAAGGGTCAGCACAATATACTGGTTCCACCCCAAAGTGGGTACCTGTAGCACTACAGCTCCACCCAAGGGTGTCCCTGAAGAAAATGCTCTCAATGGACATAATTTCAAGATCTGGACATTTTGTTCCCTATCATGTCTGAGCTGAAAGAGGGGCAGAAGTACAGATCTACACTAATTCATAGGCAATTGCTAAAAGTTTGGCTAAATTCTCAGGGAGTTGGGAAAGTTGGTGAAAAGACTAGGAAGATGTATATGAGTGAGTCTCTCAGAATGGGCACAGAATCTAAAGTCATTTATGTCCCATGTGCATGTCCATCAGACAGATGTTTTCTATAACAGAGGAAGCTGTTCATCTGGTGAATGACATAATGTACTCTGTGGGAGTCAGTCAGCTTCATTACCAGCTTACTCAGTGGGCCCATGAACAATGGAGCCATGGTGGCAGGGATAGCAACTATACACGAGTTCAACAATACGGACTTCCCCTTACCAAAGCTGATACGACTAACACAACTGATGAAAGTGTAATCTATCAAGCCCAATAGAGATCAGTATTGAACATGCAATATGGCACCAATTCCAAGGGGTTTAACAACCATTCCCTTCTGGCAGGTTGATTATATTGGACCTTTCCCATAATTGGTGAAGCAGAAGTTCATCTTTTGTGGTACTGACACATGTTCTGGATATGGATTGCTTTTCCCTGCCTATATGCTTCTGCCAGCACCATCTTATTCATGGGCTCACAAAATGCCTTGCGCACCATCATGTGGGCATTCCTCATAATGTTGATTTTAAGTAAGGAATCAATTTCACAGCAAAGAAAGTACTGCAGTGAGCTCATGCCTGTATTAACATGTCTCAATATTCAGAAGTGGAAAAAAGTGTAATGGTTTACTGAATATTCCATTATAGCAACAGTTGGGTGACAACACCCAGAAAAGATGAACTTTTGTCTTACATTTGAAGTGGAAATTCCTTTGAATAAGAGTATATGGGTCCAGGAATCAAGGAGTGGGGCCTCTTACTTTTACACCTCTTAACACACAGGATTTTTGCTACCCATCCTCGTAGTCCCAAGGTTGGCTGGTTTTGAAGTTTGGGTTCCCAAAGGATGCTTCAACTAGGGACACAACACTGGCTACATTGATATGCGATTGACATCCATCCATTTGGGGATTTTTTTAAGCCACTAACCCAGTAGGCAACAAAAGGTTACTCTACTGACAAAATTGATTGATCCTAATTGCTGTTGCACAGTGGAGACAAGGACTATATCTGGAACACAAGGAATTTTTCAAGTGCCTCTATTCCTCCCATGAAATGCTATAGCGATAAAAAATGGGTAGGGCAGATGGAAGACTCAGAACATTTGGTAATGTTCACTTTAGCAGGTAAAGATCATTGATCAAGTTCTGGCTGCGGACAAAAGAAATATCAAAGAGGCAGTAGAATAAGCCATAATTATGGTCTCATAACCAGTTATAAGGACTGTAATGTTGTTGTTGTTGTTGTTGGTAAGTAGTGATTCAGTTCTAACTCATAGTGATCCTATGCACAACAGAATGAAACACTAGTAAGTACTGCACCATCCTCACAATTGTTATTATATTTGAGTTCATTGTTGCTGCCACTGTGTCAATCCATCTGGTTACTGATCTTCCTCTTTTTCACTGACCCTTTACATCATGCTTGAAGGACAAGCATGATGTCCTTCCCTAGGGACAGGTTCCTTCTGGTAACATTCCCAAAGTATACAAAACCTAAGGCACATTCTGACTGTACTTCTTCCAAGACAGATTTGTTTGTTCTTGTGCAGTCCATGGTCCTTTCAATATTCTTCACAAACACCATAATTCAAATGCATCGGTTCTCCTCTAGTCTTCTTTATTCATTGTCCAACTTTCACATGCACATGAGGCAATTGAAAGTATCATGACTTGGGTCAAGCTCACCTTAGTCTTCAAGGTGGCATCTTTGTTCATTAACACATTAAAGATGTCTTTGCACAGATACCTATGCACTTGTTGTTGTTGTTAGGTGCCATCAAGTCAAGTGCATAAGGTGCATAGTGACCTTATGCACAACAGAATGAAACACTGCCTGGTCTTGGGCCAACCTGACAATCATTGCAAAACCTAAACACATCACTGCCACAGCTGTGCCAATCCATCTTATTGGGTGTCTTCCTCTTTTTCTCTGACCTCCCACTTTACCAAACATGATATCCGTCTCCAGTGACTGGTCCTCCTGATTTGTTGTTGTTGTTGTTAAGTGCCGATGAGTCGGATCCGACCCATAGCGACCCTGTACAGGGTTTCCGAGGCTGTAAATCTTTACGGGAGCAGAATGCCTCATCTTTCTCCCACGGAGCGGCTGGTAGTTTCGAACTGCTGGCCTTAAGGTTCGCAGCCCGATTCGTAACCACTACGCTACCAGAGCTCCTTTAATATGCCCAAAATATGAGAGACTAAGTTTAGCTATCCTGGCTTCCAAGGAATACTTTGGTTGTACTTCTTCCAACACTAATTTGTTTGTTCTTTTGGCAGTCCATGGTACTTTCAATATTCTTCCCCAACACCATTACTCAAATGCATCAATTTTTCTATGGCCTTCCTTATTCACTGTCCAACTTTGGCATGCATATGGGTTATTGAAAATACCATGGTTTGGGTCAGGCGCATCTTAGCCCTCAAACTGACATCTCTGCTCTTCACTTTAAAAAGGTCTTGTTCAGCAGATTTGCCTAATGCAATATGTCAACTGATTTCTTGACTGCTGCTTCTATGAGTGTTAATGGTCGATCTGAGCAAAATGAATCTTTTTTCCATTTATATGGATGTTGTTATTGGTCCAGTAATGAGGATTTTTGTTTACTTTACACCCACCGGATGCAACCCATACCAAAGGCTGTTGTCTTTGATCTTTATCAGTATGTATCTTAAGTCTTCTTCACTTTTAGCAAGCAAGTCTGTATCATTTGCATATTGCAGGTTGTTAATGAATCTTCTTCCTCCAATTCTGATGCCACATTTTTCTTGATATAATCCAGCTTCTTGGATTATTTGCTCAGCATACAGATTAAAAGAGTGTGGTGAAAGAATACAATCCTGGCGCACGCCTTTTCCTAATTTTTAAACCATTAGGTGTTCCCTTGTTCTGTTCGAACAATTGCCTCTTGGTCTATGTACAGGTCTTGTTTAAATTGTTTTTTCAGCTTCAGCTTGAATTTACGTATGAGTAATTGATGGTTTATTCCACAGTGGGCTCCTGGTATTGTCTTGGCTGATGATATTGTGCTTCTCCATTGTCTCTTCCCATATATATAGTCAATTAGATTTTTGTGTGTGCCATCTATACATGTGCAAAGTCCACATGTATAGCTGACTTTTATGTTGTTGAATAACAGTATTTGCAATGAGTTAGTTGTTGTCTTGCAAAATTCTAGCATGCAATGTGCAAGTATTTCTATCACCAAGGCCATATTTTCCAACTTTGATCCTTCCTCTTTGTTTTCAACTTTTGCTTTCCAATGCATCTTGATTACATGGTTGATCAACTTCAAACTGCAGAAGTTGGTAGAATTCTTCAATTTCTTCATAACTGCCTTTAGTGATTGGTAAGTACATTTTAATAATAGTGGTATTAACTGGTCTTCCTTGTAGGCATATGGATATTATCCTATCATAAATAGCATTATACTTCTAGATCTTGAAATGCTCTTTTTGATGATAAACGGAACACCATTCCTCTTCAATTTGTCATTCTTGGCATAGTAAACCACATGATTGCCATATCCCAAATGACCAATATCAGTCCATTTCAACTTATCAGAATATCAATCTTTATCATTTCCATTCCATTTTTGACAACTTCCAATTTTCCTAGATCCATAATTTTTACATTCCACATTCCTATCATTAATGGATATTTATAGCTATGATGTTGTTGTAAAGTGCCATTGAGTCATCCCCAACTAATAGTTACCCTGTATAGGGTTTCCATGGAGCGGCTGATAACTTTGAACCACCAACCTTGTGGTCCAGTGCTTATCCTACACTTTTGAATATTTTGACTATTATATAGGTTGATTTGTGGATTCTAAACATTTGACTTCTTCCCATTTTA